AAAAAAACAATTTCTATAGTTTGCTATTTTTCAAAGTTTTAAGAGGAATTCAAATCATTAATTGTATCTCAACAAGAAATCACAACTAATATCTGCTCTTTTAACTTGTCAAACAATTATCAGGTTTATTCAAAGCATGAGAAAAACATGATTGAACTCATCTAAAAATTAACCCTAATAATCAATTGGAAAAATAGACAATAAATATTTAAGATCAATATGGAAAAATAAATCATGAGTAAAAATCAAATAGAATATATAAGCTTCATCCTTGCCCTAGCTATGGAGTTTAGCCAAACATAATGTAAAATTCAACAAGATCCATAGTAAAACTTGACATAATTAAAGAAGAAGGGAAGAATTAAACTCTGTAATTGGAGGAAGAAGATGGGCCGTGCTGTTGCAGTGCCGCTCCAGATTCGTCGCCGCCGTCACTGAAGGTCGGAAGACTCGCCGCAGAGCATCGCCGTCGCACAAAGCCGCCGCTGGTCTGCCTTTTTCTTTCGTTTCTTTTCTCTTCCGTCTCCTCCCCTTGGTTTCATCAGCCCTCCTCCTTTTATATCCCCTTTTTTTGTTTGTTTAGGTTTTTTTTTATTTTGTTGGGTTGAGAATTGAGATAGGATTTGTATAGCAATTGGATCTTGACTTGCACTTGGACTTTAAATCTTCAATCCATTAAAGCTTGGCCCAATTCTCCATCTCTTGAATTTAACATCTTTTTTTTATTCCAAAATGTATATCTGAAAATACATATAAGAGAAATTAATTTCAACACGAAATATAATAAAAACTTTACACAACTTATGACTTTAGTGTAAAAATATAACAAGTAGCCTAAAAAGCTAAATATTTCATTATGTAATTTATTTTAACATAAAATGCATTAAAAATATAATTAAGAACTAAAGTATGACCAAATAAAATGTGACAATTTGTAACGTATCATTTTCAAACATCCTGAACGCCATTTTTTAAAATTTTTTCCTTGAAGAAATTTTCCTCATTCTGCAGAACAACCATTGTTGGACGATTTCTTCTTTATTAGTGGTTGTGATTGCTCAACATTCATGTTCTTCGCCGAGGAGGAACAACGATCTGTCATACCAACTTTAATTTATAGACGCCGTGCACTGGCGGCTGCCTCTAGCGTACTTAAGGTTGTTTCCATGGCGGTCGAGGATGAAGTAGATTGTGTTATGTCAGTCAAACACAACAAATAAATAGACACGCCTAGCTATTATTCAGGGAGAAAAAAATCACAATATTCTACCAATAGACATTGAAGTGTGCATTTTCACTGGCAGGAGAGTAGAAGCATGTTTGAGGTCTCAAAAATTGAAAATTTATTCCAATACCATGTAAAAGTACCGACTCAATCAAAAGCTCAAGCTTTTGTCTGTGGTTCAGAAATGATTTTTTTATTCTAACAATTGATGTCGGAAAAATTAAAATCTAGGACTAGTTTGGAGCATGAAATCTATAGTTTCGATAAATCGAAATTAACTAGATAGATACTGGGTATGATCTTATTCCTCGTCTCAAATGTAAACACATACTCCCTCCGTCCCTATTTAATCACAACACTTTGACTTGCACACACTTTAAGAAAGTAGGTAAAAAGTATTTTTTTTCAAGAATACCCCCCACCCACCCGTACAAATGAAAAGCAAAGGCAAAAGATAAGGGAGAAAGGGGGAGTATTTAATTAAAGTTAACATCACATCATTCTCATAATAAGGGAGAAAGAGGCTATCAATTGTACACATCATCACCATACACACACCACACGTTGAAAATTAAAG